CCCACCCTCAGAGCTGGGCACTGACCACGTTTGCTCGTCTCTGCAGCTATGACACCAAGGGGCGGGGGCACATCACGTACCCGGAGTTCCTGCACCAGCTGGGGATCACGTACTCGGCGGACGTGCACCGGCCCTACGCGGAGGACCACTCCAACTTCATGGGCCACTTCATGAAGCCGCCGCCGCCAGAGCCACCACGGAAGGAGCGCCCAGCGCAGTGCCCAGAACAGCCCCCAGAGCAGCACCCTGCACAGCCGCCGGGCACGGACACGGACAAGCCAGCCAGGTGAGTCAGGGAGTGTCCCGGGCCAGGAGCTGCCATCTGAGCCACCCACAACCGTGGCGGATGTTCTGAGATGCGGCCTCCGGGGCTGGCGAAGTGACAAGGCTGCCCTGTGCACTCGCTGCCAGATGCTAGACACCGGCGCTGTCACAGCCCGCAGAGTGCCAGCCGTGCGCTGCCCGCTGCTCGGGGACTGTCCCTCTCAGGCATTTACTGTATGTGGCCCGGCCCTTCCCGGACAACTAGGATGAAGGCGCATGAAGACACGCCTGTCTCAGCCAATGCCTGACACCGAATTGGTGCCCGGCAAATATCTGTTGAATGAGCGAGTGAGTGAGTGAGTGCAGACATGGTCTTGGACTCAGTAGTTCCATTTTAAGGACTTTATACCAGAGAAATAATGCAGACGAGGCCCTCGGGTTAGCAGCGGGCAGGGATGGCTGGCCGGAGTTCCCACGGCTGGTCCCAGTGAGTGCGCGGGCCCAAAGGCTACGAAACAGCTGCCGCCACGAAGCCTGGGCAACATGTGTGACCGAGGGCTGATGGGAAATGCACAGGGCCGGCACGTCTGTGTGACTGCAGCGATGCCAAGCGCACGGGCCTGGCCGCGAGGCCCAGGAGGTGCACGCAGAGGGTCCTGCCAAGTCGTGTTTGGATCGTGGGACTGGGAGGATTACCTTCAAAGGGGAAAACCAGTTACCAACGTCGTACCTTGGAAGCGTTTGGCATGGGAGCGAGCTTTGCCATGTTGGAGTGGCCACAGAGCTGGGGGGCAGGTTTTCCTGGCCCATCTCCGTCCTGGTCCCCCATCAGTACTGCCAGGCCTGGGCTCTGCTCCCCGCCCCCTGCTGCCCGGGACTGTGCCCCCTGTCTCCTGCTGTCACTCCAGCTCTGTCCCCGCCCCTCAGAGAGCCCGCGAGTGAGTGCATGACTTGTTGCTGAAGAACCCCCAAAGGAAACGAGGCCCAGCAGCACAGAAATGAGGTGCCAGGGCCACGGGGGTTAAGGGGAAAGCAGTGTGCCGCCCTGAGGGATGGGGAAGTATCTGAGATATAAAGAGGATGGAGTTTGAAAAATAAGGAAAAAATATGCATAAGATTGGCGTAAATCACACATGCCCTCACACTAATGAAAAAGTGGATTTATCTTTATCAGGGCTGGCCTCCTTACCCACGCCCCAACCCCCCAACCTTCTCCCCCACACCACGTGTGAGCAACGAGGTGGAAGGGAGCACCCAGCTTCTCCCCTGCGGCCACTCCTCCCTGTGTCCTCCGACTGGGAGCCGGTGGAGCAGGGGTGGGGGGTGGAGGGATTCCTGACCACCACGCCCAGCCAGCCCTCACTCCCCAGTCCTCTGCGGGGTCAGCCTCTCCTGCTGGACCAGCCTGATTTCATTAAACCGCCGCCACCTCTGTTTCCTCAAAGGCGTCGGTTGCAACACTGTCAGGCGGCCGCTTCTGCATTCCGGGGGCAGCGGGGCCTCCGGGTCACCCTTAAGGTTCTGTGTTTCCAGGACTTTCCCCCTCGTTTCTACTGAAACTCTGAGGAGATTGACAGACGGGCGTCGTGCTCAATTCACGTGACCAAAATGGTGTCTTTGCCTCTTACACCTACGGGAATGGGTTTTGTTTGAAGTGCCCTGAACACATTTTTTTCACTTAGAAAAATCCTCTTTTTAGCTCGTGTGTGTTTTCCATGTCTTGCTTTT